ATTTTCCATGTACATTGCAGTCTCCATGATGCACCAGCAAGCAGCAACGTCACATTACAACTCGGCGCAGGGAGGGAGCCAGCATTACCAGGGCCAGTCCTCCATCGCCATGATGAGTCAGAGCAACCAAGGCAACAGCATGATGGGCCAGCGCCCCATGGGCCCCTACAGAGCTTCACAGCAAGGTAAAATCTGTTATCAGGTGGCTGATACTGCTCTATGAATGATACTCGGTCTGTCCTGTGGGGTAGGTGAGACAACAGAATTCCCAAGTCACGTTTATGACCAGGGAGTCCCATCTGGGAACACAGGAAATCGCTAATGGTGGAAGTATCATGACAATCAGATGAACTTTAATCTATTTTCAAGATTTATCTATTTAATTATTTCAGGTGTTTAGAAAAAAATAATTCTGTCTAAAAGATATATCTCTAAAGAAAAAGATGAACAATTTGATATACAGCTCACTCAAGCCACTGGGAATCTTTTCAGTTCTTTGAAATGATATTGGATCAGCCGTAACATGGCACAGTTAACAAGGAACACATTTCTGCAAAGAAGATATAGTTTGCCAGCAATTAGTACGAAAAATTAGGCCAAGGAAAGGAAAACACCAGAGGATAAGACCTACCTAAACACCTACCATGCTCTAAGACCTCTCTGGAAAAAGTTCTTAAGAGGTAATATAGCTGCTAGACTGATTCTAACATAAACTGAATTTTACTAAGAAACAAATTAATACATTAATTAAAATATATTTAATTCTGACTGTGTTCTCGAGCATGGAATACATTCCTGTGCTTTCTAATAACTCAGATTAGTAGATGAAATGTAGCCATTACTTTCGGTATTGCCACAGAAGTGAGTGGTTTTAGGACACGTTACTGACCATTGTGTAATTTCAATTTCAACCAGCTTTTTCTGAGAATACAAATTTATTTCCTTTTTCATCTTTGAAACTGCTCTTAACAGACATAGCTTGTTTACTTATTCAGTTGTTTTCATGTTGTTTCTTAAAAATAAGTTAGATAGATAAGAAAAAAACCATCCCTTAGGAGTCCGTGGGCTTAGTTTGCTCTCTCTTGCCTTTGCCTCGCAGGTTCCTCGCAGCAGTACATGGGGCAGGAAGAATATTACAGTGAACAGTACAGTCATGGGCAAGGCTCCTCGGAACCCATGAATCAGCAATACTATCCCGATGGTAATTCCTCTGAGCTGATAATACTGATAACGTGCAGACCAGTGTGACTGCCACATCCAAGGACATGGCAAACCCGTTACAATTCATTTCCAATTTAAGTGCTAGAAAATTCTAATTCCAGGGCCTGGCAGCCTGGTACACAAACACAGGCATCAGTGCACTGTGCCATCCAAACTGCCTCAAAGAGAGCACAAAGCCAAGACTCGATTAGTAAATGCAAGAGATTGATCCCTAAGTGTGACTTTCCTTGCTGTCTATTTGACCTCTAATCCAAGTGGTCTGTACTTCCTCTTTGTGCCTCATCTTTGTGCATCAACAGCTTCATAATATACCACTCAACAATGTATCTGTAGTTATATCACCAAGGTGTCTGATAAATCTTTGCAATTCCCTGTAGGACATGGTGACTACGCCTATCAGCAGTCCTCCTACACTGAGCAGAGCTACGACAGGTCGTTTGATGACTCTACACAACACTATTATGAAGGAGGTAGGAAAATGCATTGTCCATCTTTGTAAAGCAAAGCTCTGATCATAGAATCACAGAATGGTTTGGATTGGAAGGGACCTTAAAGATCATCTAGTCCCAACCCCCCTGCCAGCAGCAGGGACACCTTCCACTAGACCAGGTTGCTCAAAGCCTCATCCAGCCTGGCCTTCAACACTTCCAGGGAGGGGGCATCCACAACTTCCTTGGGCAACCTGTTCCAGTGTCTGACCACCCTCACAGTGAAATCAGGATAGTTGATCCCCTAAAATACTAATGAAATGCTTATGAGAATGTAAAATATGACTTGCAATTCCTGCACTGCTAATTGCTTGTGATAGTTTAACTTGGCTGGAAGCCAAACAAGACACAACCACTCACAGCTCTCCCTTTCCGTACTCCCCACCCCCTGGGAATCAGGGAGAGAATTGGAGGGGTAAAGGTGAGGAGACTTGTAGGTTGAGATAAGGACAATTTAAAAATTAGAATAAAATGAAATTAAAATAGTAGTAATAATAATAATGATAACAATTATATATATATATGAGTGATGCACAGATAATGATACACAATAATGATCCCAGAAGAGCAAAAAGGAACCCCAAAATCGCAATCCCAGAAAAGTGAGCCCAAGCAATTCCCGAGAGAATCTCCAAATTCCAGTCAGCCCTGGTTAATATAATGAACGTGACATATATGATATGGAATATCTTATTGGTATATCCAACTGTCAGTTCTGGGTTTTGCTAACTTCTCCTCCCCCAGTCATTTGCACTTGCAAACTACCCAAACACGGTGTCCTTGCACCTTATCACCATCGTTCTCATAACAATCCCCACTGAAACCAAAACACAGCGCTTTCTAGCTACTGAGAAGAAAATTAACTCTATCCTAGCAAAAAACAGGACACTGCTACTTAGCTATTAGTCCAGGAGCATCCAGGAAATAGAATTCAGCTCTGTACAGCATTTTTTATACCAAGACTGTATCAGACTCTATACACATCATCATGTCAGTGACTGTATTGCGAGGCAGACGCGCTCTGCAGCCTTGTGGGGTCACTAACAACCTGTGTGTAGTCTCATGTTCATTAGAAAAATGATCCTCGGTTATAGCTGAGCCAGATGGAATTACAGCTACTGATATTTAACTTTTTTTGCATTAAGAGAAAAGGCTTCCAGGATATCGGTATCCTCCACTCTTCCAGAACTGTTTAATAAACATTTGCTATAATGCAAATAAAAATGGGTGTATTAAATGAAAAGGTAAATTAATGTGCTGCAGCTAAAAATGGGGATCAGAGCTGGAAAAAACTTGGCAGCCATAAATGGAAATTTCTCTAAAGTTAAAAAGCTTACTGGTTAATTCCAGTACCAACTTTTAAAAATCTTATTCAATTCATCTTACAAATTGTGAAAACCAATGGGTTAAATGAACCTAATATTTGAAAATCATCAATACTATGAGTTTACAATTCTGCCACTAAAAAACTCTCAACAGTAGTAATGTCAGTAAATTAAGTGATATTATTAAGATATTTGAACTCTAAATTAACTGCAAAATATTAGCTTAATTATGATACAGCAAGGTGACATTTAGGAAAAGCAATGTCATCTGTATAGTCTCCATTCATTTTGTTGTTTCAGGATACTGCAAATGCAATTTCCATCATAAGTATTTAAAAAAATACCAGGAACAACTAGATAAGTGGTCTTTCTGGAATATATGAATAAATATCATTGTCTAGAAGAAAATACAGGGCTTCTTGGGAGGGCTTCTTGAGAAACTGGCTATTTACCCTCATACCCTTATCTTTGTGACTCTGTGTTTTTCTTCTGAAATGCTTCTGAGGTAAAAAAAATCATTTGGGGAACAGGTTGCTTGTTTGTTTGTTTGTTTGTTTTTTTAGTGATGTGTATAAATAAACAACTCTCTCCTGTTGAAAAGAACTAAAAATCACCGAGGAAATAAACATCCTGATTGGCAAAGTGCAATCATCTGTTTCTGAAAAGAGTACTTGTCTATCAGTTCCAGACCAAGGCTCCTTATGTCTTTGTTCTCCTCATGATTCGCATGTACAGTGAAATACCTGCCTCATCCATAATCCAACTATTTCCATTTTTCCCTCTTTAGGAAATTCTCAGTACAGCCAGCAGCAGGCAGGATACCAACAGGGAGCTGCACAACAGCAAACATATTCCCAGCAGCAATACCCGAATCAACAAAGTTACCCAGGACAACAGCAAGGATATGGTAAGAAAACTCAGGGACCAGTCAAGGGTGGGCAATAGTTCATCCCAACACCTCCTTTCCTCAGCTAAAACATGCTGTAAACTATTTCCTTCATTAACCTTGGGCACCCACATACCAAAACTAGCCAAAGAGCATATTGATGGTTGGACTTGATGATCTTGAAGGTCTTTTCCAACCTTAATGGTTCTGTGATTCTATGTGGAGGGATTCTGGGCAGTAACATACATTAGTATAGCACTGCATTCCGTACTGTGACGTTAGCATCCCCAATCCCTCTCTTTTTTGACAGAAAGTTAGAAAATACACTTTTGCCTCATGTTGATTTCCTGGTAAGTGTCGGTAGAAGGTCACTGCCTGGATTCTCAGGCCTCCTGCACATCTAATAGTTCTGCAACTGATTAGAAAATATAACATCAACAGTCCAGAGAATCACGACTCCCTCATTTAGATTTCTTGCAGTGTCATAGGGGTTTTATTCCTTGGTGAGAGACTGAGGAGAAAGGACTTTGGATCTCCCAAATGTGATGGTACTTGACCTTCAACTGGCAATGCTAACCAATCTTGATAAACTGATGTTGATATAAACAGCAAACCCATTTCAGAAATGTAAGATCTCATGAAATAGAACCTACGTGCCTAAAAAGTTGATTAAATTATTAACACCTGACTCTGCAATACTAGTAGATAGTTTGGACTACTCAAACCAGACATACTCTGTGAAATTAAACCCAAAATTCAGTTTATGATGTTAAAATCTGTCCTCTTTTTAAAGGTTCTCCGTCATAAAAATCCACCAATAATGCTAAAAAGTAAGTGCACATAACACTATATACACAGAATATGCAGTCCTCAATAAAAGGAAATCAATAGCCCTTTGCAGTTGTGTTTCTGATTTACGTGGTTTTTAAAATTATCTCTATATGCAAGAGATTTATTAGGATCTGCCTGGTCAGCAGTGCTTACAGTGGCACAGCCAGATTAAATAAGAAGTGAAACATGCCAGGAAGCTTTTGGACAGGTAATAACTGAGCTGTGCCGATACAGATTTCCAAGAGGCAGATCACTTATAACTATATCACATTTTCTGAGCAGTGTTTTAAAACCTGAATTGAAGTTTATGCTGCTGCAACTAGATCATTATTAGTATTAACGCTTTCTAGTGTAAAGCTAGAGGGGAGGTTCAGGCAAAACTTACTCACAGTTCATACTCGCAGAGCTTACGTTGTTACCATCGTGTTTTACGTGATGTTAACTGTAAGAACTCTCCTTAGCACATCAAGCCCTAGTAACAGATTTCTCTGTCTCCTCAGGTCCTGCACAAGGAGCCTCTTCACAGTATTCCAGCTACCCACAGGGCCAGGGGCAGCAATACGGGAGTTACAGAGCTTCTCAGACAGGCCCATCCGCTCAGCAACAGAGGCCTTATGGCTACGAGCAGGTAAATTGTCTGAATCTCTGCTATGAAAAAGCAGATTTAGCTGTTAGCTCTGCATATAAATCTATCTGATCATTCGGTGCAGGTATATTGGTGATACTTCAGTGAGTCTTTCAGAATTCATAGACCAAAAGAAATTGTCTAACTCGCTGTTTGTAAACCTCTGATATATTATTCCCCAACATTTTTATTTCTCTCTTTTTTTTTTTTTTTTTATAGGGACAATATGGAAATTACCAGCAATAAAAGAACACGATCCTGTGTCAGATTCATTTCAATAGTATCTCCGTCTTTTGAACTGGATGTACAGGCAGTTTTGATTAATTGTAATATGTTGGTTACCCTTTAGCACAAAGCAGCGTCTGTATGTGAGCAGTGTTCATTTCATGCTGGATATGAAGCAGTGCACTACTGGTAACAAGACAATGCTTTAATGGTTTGATATTTGGTGCTGTGTATAGTACTGTATGTTGATACAATGCAGAAGTTTTTCATTGACCCCCCCCCCCTCCTCGCCTCATTCTTGATGTTTCTAAATAGCTGTAGGATCATTTGATCAGAGTTGTGCCCCGTTCTGGAAAGCAGCCAGGTTGTTCTGTAGTCTGGCTCGGTCGTATCTCAGCCCAGGGAGGGATCCTCTGGTAGGTTATTGATCTGTTTTTAACTGAATGCATTGAAAATTACCTGCCAGCCTCTGAAATCCATGGCTCTTCTTAAAAATAATGGGATGGATACATTCCTTATGTGAAGACAGTTCTATGCTATCTGTTAAAAATGAAATTAACAGCAACTTCTGCAATACCTACCAGGGCTAACTACCCACATCTTCTAATTCAGTAATCTGTGTAAGTCCACGTTTGGAACAGGCTGCCCAGAGAGGGTGTGGAGTCTCCATCTCTGGAGATGTTCAAATCCACCTGGACACTTTCCTGTGCAACCTGCTTGAGGTGACCCTGCTTTGGCAGGGGGGTTGGACTGGATGATCTCCTGAGGTCCCTTCCAACCCCACCATTCTGTGATTTTGTGATTTCTGTTGTAAAAGGTACAGTAAGAGGATCAAAACCTCTATTCAAGGAGATGTTAATCACTAGAGGCACCTTTGATATATCCATGTAAACTACAGTATTTCTGTCATGGAAAGAAAAGCAGAAGGGAGCTCTGAGATCTGCAGCATCAGCCTACTGGATGTCAGTATCACTTCATATTGTGCTTAGCTGAGAAAACATCTGGCAAAACTCCACTCTTAAATACGCTACTCCAGATTTTGTAACTCGCAGATACATTTTCATGCCAAATTTCACAAGCAGGTGGCTGGCATCCTTCTTTATTTCTGATCCTTCCATTGCCCTTGCTCAGATTCTCCGGCAAGCATTATAACCATAAATATTGTCAATTTTTTTGGTCTATTGTTCTTACAGCTCATCATCACTTTTATTTTTCTCTTGTAGCTTGACAGAAATAGTTCAGAAGTAAAAGGAAAAAAAAAAAAATCCATCTTTATTGCAGATAAGCAACTGAATTTATCTTTAATTGTGAAACAATATTATGCATATAGAAAGGGGAACTATTAATGGGGTCAGCCAGTGAGAGAATACCTATAGAGGAAGAATTTAGAAATAAAAACTAGTGGTATGTAAAAGGCAGTATGAACAATGTAAGTCACTTCTATTCAGTTTTATATGTTCTTATAAAGTGTTGAAAAAAAGCACTTATAAAGTGCTTATATAACTGCTGAACAAAATACCACATCCGAACTTCTCTAGGATGACTATACTCCATGAGCATTTTTTAATACGAGATTAACTCAAAATTTACAATATAGGGTAAATACACCCTCTGTAGGATTTTCTCCTTTTCTTTGTCTGAACTGGTGTATTTATGGGATTTCGAGTTCTAGTACTTTATATTTTGAAAAACCAAGGCCACAAGGAAAATAAAAGATCTCTCAATTCTTTACTTTTTTTCCTGTAGAGGAAAGTCTTTAACTGGACAACTAAAGAGTTTACTATTAAATGTTGTCCAAGCACTGCCCTTGCTACGTTAATAATTTTAATTACTGATAAAATAGAAGACAGTTTTTAAGTCAGTCCTCATCTCTCTCATCTTTCCTGCTGGTGTTTTCATACAAGTAAGTACTCTCAAATAGCAAGGAACAGAAAGGAAGTAAGATTGTTTTCTTTACAATGTATTCATCTTACAGTTAGCCAGAAGAATGCAATATTGCTCTTTGCCAGCTTGGAAATATGCTTTTTATGTGGTTTTTGAAAGTGCTGAAATACTTTTGAGAGAATATGAACAACACTTAAAATGAAGCAGCAACATTACATCGATCTGAAATGTCTTACATTAAGAATTTCTTGAATGTTGTGTATATAATGTATTTGAAAGAGCACTTTGGAAATAGTTTGTACATTTACTTCCTAATTTATACATGATTTTTGGTGTTAATATTTCTAATTGTTAATAACAAAATGTTTATTTAATGTGTTGTCCATTTTTATGTATTAATGTGGAAACAAAGTGATGCCAGCATTTTGACTTCTTCCATTAATTGTATCATTTTCTGTTTTGTAATACAGAATGCTTGAGAATTGATTAGGTTAAATATGATCTCAAAATGAAGTTGGTGGTACTTTTCTTATGACACAGACTTTTGAATGGAAACAACAGATAAAGGGAGGTTCTTTTGAGTTGCACCTTCTCCCCTACTTCTCTGATAAGCTTCAAAGATAATTATACGTGACAAAAGCTTGTCCCAGCTTTCATATTATTTGATATGCACAGATCAAATGCTCTGTGTGCGCGGTGGATGTACATAATTAGTGGCTTCAAACTGGAAGAAGGTAGGTTTAGATGAGATATTAGGAAGAAATTCTTTGGTGTGAGGGTGGTGAGCCAGTGTCCCAGGTTGCCCAGAGAAGCTGTGGCTGCTCCTCCCTGGAAGTGTTCAAGGCCAGGTTGGATGAGGCTTTGAGCAACCTGGTCTAGTGGAAGGTGTCCCTGCTGATGGCAGGGGGGTTGGAACTGGAATCATAGAATCATAGACTGGTTTGGGTTGGAAAGGACCCTCAAAGCTCATCTAGTCCAACCCCCCTGCAGTGAGCAGGGACATCTTTACTAGAGCAGGTTGCTCAGAGCCCCATCAAGCCTGACCTTGAACATCTCCAGGGATGGGGCCTCCATGACCTCTCTGGGCAACCTGTTCCAATGATCCACCACCCTCATATTGAAGAACTTTTTCCCAATATCCAACCTAAATCCAACCCTTTTCTAGTTTGAAACCATTACCCCTCGTCCTATTGCTCCATGCCCTCGTGAACAGTGCTTCCCCAGCTTTCTCTTCTTATAGGCACCTTTCAGGTACTGGACAGCTGCTATAACTGCTCTTCTCCAGGCTGAAGGTCCCTTCCAACCCAAACCGTTCTGATTCTACAATAATTAACTGCTGCCCTCAGGGATAGCACGGGGGGGACATGTACCCAGTGACTGATGGCGCAGGAGGGCTCCTCAAGAGGCTGAGACCCCTCAAGGAGCCAAGACCCCCCTGATCCCACCAGGTCGGTCAGCAAGCCCCATGGCGGCACCTGCACACGCGTGGTTTTAGCTGCCGCAGCCCACTGCAG